GAGCCCCACAGACGCAGGTATGCTGCTCTTCAGCGCACCGGCGTGTGGCGCCTACAGGTCTGCAACGGTGAACTTGTTTAAATTAGCTCTGAATAAATGGAAGCTTATGGCTCAAAACAAAGATTATTGAAATTAGATTTTCAGTCATGAACTGAGATTAGACGATGATTTTACAACAGAGTGGTGAAGATGTTGGTGCATGACTGTATTTTTATTTTGAATAAAGCTGGTTTTATTAAAGATATTTCTTTTCCTCAGCCATTACAAAACTCTGTCATGATTTTGCTGACCAAGTGCAGTACCCACAAACGGCCACGAGAGGGTGACATTTGTCCAACAGAAGGTTGACTTCATCCGCCTATTTTCATGTCAGAACATTTTATTCAAAGTTCATCTGATCAAGTTATCCCGGATTAAGCGTCGTATGGACAAGATTGCACTGTTGTTCTAACATAAAGCCCTTGTTGTCATGGTGATCTGTCACATGCATACCTGTAGCACCAGACATTGTGGACATTTGTGTGTTTGGAAGTGTTACGTAACACGTTGGTGGAGATTGCAGCGTCATCAAAGCATGATGATGTCACAGAACCATTATGACCCTGAATCTGGAGAGAACTTCATCATCAGGTTTGCTTTGAAGAAAGCGGTTTGACGGATTGTTGCTTTCAGAAACCGTACTGGTTTTGTGTAAACAGAATCTCCCTTCAGAGAAATCTGGGGCATTCACTGAAAAGTTTTAACAAAATCGCTTATTCACCGTTCGACAAACATGGAGTTATCTTTGTCCTCTCGAGCAGCCACTCATGAGTGCCTTCTTGTCAGAAAGTTGCTCTGAGCTGCAGTCGTTCATCCAACAGCGCAGATGTGAACTGGCTAGCTACACTAGAGTTAGCTTTGCAGAAACACATAAACTGTGTGTGTCTGCATCAGAACCTGACACGTCTTCACGTCAGATTCAACCCCGTGAGGAGCTAACAAATGTCTTCTTGAAGACAATTGTGTCTGTGGACACCAGTGGAGGTTCAACATCCATCTCCAGCAACAACTCCTCTGTTTTGGGGCTAAACACAAAGACGAAAGGTTTAAAATGCTGGCAAACTACAGAGGGATTTACTGTGAGGAGGAAAGGCAGCCTTCTTCTGTCCAACTCCAGGCTACTCCTCATATTAGGCTGCTGGGGGAAAGAAAGTGTTTGAATGAAAACTCTGACTTCCCCAGGCCTGCTAAGCCACGGCTGTCTGAAGACACACCTCAGAAACGGACGGATTCACACAGGAGTTAAGAGCTCGCCCCGTAATCAGAAGGTTGCCGGTTCGAGCTCCGCTCAGTCTGTGGCTGTCGTTGTGTCCTTGGGCAAGACATGGTCTGAGGGAACGGTGGTGCTTGTGTTCAGCAGACCCACCTCTCTCAGTGTGCCCAGGGCAGCTGTGGCTATAATGTAGTTCATCACCACCAGGGTGTGAATGGGTAAATGACTGATAGTGTGGTAACGTGCCTTGGGGGCTTCCAGAACTCTAGAATAAACTATTTCAAATACAGGCCATTTACCATGTAGGACCCAAAAATACCTCTAAACCCCCAACCACTGCCTCTGTCTGAGCAGCCTCCCACTCCAGTCACCTGGATTATTGGATCAGGTACATCAGACGGGGTGAAGAGGCAGCTAAGCAACAGTTTGGGACAAACTTTGTACTTAAAGCTAACATCCAATGGTTTGGCAAAAGAGGCATGCACCGAGGTGGTGTCCTTCCCAGGTTTTACTCTGAGGCAAGCACATACGGTCCCTCAGATATTCTGGTTGTCCACGCTGGAGGAAACAATCTGGGTCTCGTTCCCCTGTTGGAACGGATTTCTCAGATCCAAAGGGGCTTATCCCCGCTTCACAAGGACTTCCTGGAAATGAGAAAACGGCGAGAGTGGCGGTATGAACAGCTTAAGAACAACCGAAAAGTTCATTCTTTACTGAGGAAGGCAGCTGAGAGATTTGGGAGCCTGTTCATCAATAAGTTCTTGCCTAATGGCTTATAAGTCGTTACATTTAAAAATTATATTTTTAAAACAACAAACAAACAAAATCATCTGAAACACTTTCATTCCTCTAATGGGTGACTAATAGGTCTAAAGTGGGACAGGGCCGTCTCCTCTACACCATGACACCTCCACCACCATGCTGAAGCTCTGATATGAAGCAGGATGGATCCATGCTTTCATGTTGCTGACTCCAAATTCTGACCCAACAGCTAAAATCCAGGAAAGGTTCTCCAGTCCAGTGGAAATCATAGCATCAATTTCCTGATCTAAGCAGACAGGAGCGACACCTGCTGGTCTTCTGCAAGTGGAGTCCATGTGCCTCAAGTGTCACAGACGCAGTTCTGCAGACCTTGTGTCACAAGGCAACAAAATGAAGTACAGAAAAAGGTGAACATTTTTATCCTGCCTTTCATTATCACTGTTACATGACAATGCACACAAACCACATTGGGACCCATTTTTCCCGGTGTTCTATCAGAATTTGATCCCTGCTTCTGGATGAAAAACCGGACATTATCATGAATACAAGAACCAACCCCCTCACCCCATCCTGACAGAGAGTGAAAAGTTGACGTGTACGGCCTCCTGGTTTGATGCCAGCTCCGGCTTTCTCCTCGCAGTTTATGGAAGATTTCAACACGAAACGGGAGACTGTCTTAAATGCGAGACAGAGCTTGGTCATGCTACTCTCCAGGCCAGCGCATGTTGGCACGGTGCGCACGCGAGGTGTGGGGTGGTGGTGGTGGGGGTGCGTTCAAGATTTGGGGTTGCTGAGCAGTTGCTTAGCCCAATCTTGGGGTTGTTTAGCAACCCTTAGTTACCGCCTGGTGCCGCCCATGCCTTGTGAGGATTGGAGCTACTGTTGTCTTTCTGACATCTAGAACCAGTCTCCTCTGACCTCAACATGACATTTCCTCACTTGATATGTTGTCTTTTTTCAGACCATTCCCAGAAAACCCTAGAGCGAAAATCCCAGGAAGTCAGTGTTTCCTGACACCAACAAGGATAGCTACAGGAACTTCTTCTGTGGTGCATTAGTGACACCTGTGTGAGATTGTCTGTGAAGGTTCTCAGTCATCCAGGTCATTGTAGTCTAAGGAGCTTGAAAGAAAAGTGTCTGGACTTCTTTAGGTTGCATGAAGACGTTTCACCTCTCATCCGAGAACTGAACTGAAGAAGCCTCTCGGATGAGAGGTGAAACGACTTCAAGCAAAGAAGTCCAGACGCTTTTCTTTCAAGCTCCTTAGACGACACCTGTGTGAGTGATCTTCTTTGAAGCTTCTAATGTGCACTGCTGCCCTCTGCTGGTTCACCTGTTCATTCTCACAGCCTGCCATACACTCCAGTGGTGTGCAGATGTTGCAGCAAAGCCATCATTTTAGCCCAGTCCTCCATGAAGCTATCTCTCCTGCGTCCTCTGAACAACATCTGACTGCAGGATACCATGCTTGACTGGTTCTGGTTCTCCAGTCTCAATCCCATCAGAGCCAGCCTACGTCTGAGACAAACCTCTCTTCAGCCTTTTTACACCCAAAACAGAAACGGTGACCTCATGCCTTTCAGTTGATATCACAGAAAGTTCTGCCTGTTCTACATGATTTATGCCAATCTTCCGTGGCTGCTTTCTTCCAAAATGCATCCTTAGCTGTATGATCTGCTGCTTCATCTCCTTGCACATCGACCCAGATGAAGCCCGCCTCGCATCCTTCTAATTACCCGTCTGATCCCCTTATCTAAGGCAGCTCGTGAGTCAGGGTTGAATGCATTCACTTCCTGTGATTTGCTGATTATTTCCGCCCTAACAGGTAATTGGATAAGGTGGAGCTAATTAAGTGAGGAGTGTGAGCACCTGTCGATTCTGACTAGTTGTTCATTTGTGCAAGCTTCCTCCGTGGTCGCTAGATGGCAGCATTTCACCTCTTTTTGTAAGTGTGCGCGCTTGACCAGAGCTGCAAAATGAAGTGGACTTAAATATTAACTCACACGTGATTTATTCTGATAAAATCAGTGAAAACGATCCATGGTTTGAGTTTTAATGTTGCCTCCATAGAACAAAAGTGTTCTCTCAGTTTACCAAACTCCGAGGATTGTGCTGGCACCGTGTTTGTTCCATGGAAACACAATGTTGCACATAAGGTGTGTCTCATGAACACATGTCTGATTTTAACGAGGCTTCAGTTCAACCGGACCGTTATTATCATCAGAGCCTTTTTTGATTTACGTCCACATCTGGAGGAGGAGGCAGCTTTTCTCATGAGTTTCCTCCCAGTGTCACAGTTTTTAATAGCCTTCCCACATGCGCACACTTGACTCTCAAACACCTTTCTTGCGTGGCTGAGAGAGCGCGCGCATTCCTGCGCGGGTGTAATGATCAAATACACAAGTCCGCAAACCTGGTGTAGGAGTTAGTAAATGACAGCATTAACATGGCTGGAACACCGGCCCCTCTGATGTGCGTGTTTGTGTGTGTGTTGTGAATACCCCCCCCCCCCCCCCCCTCCACACACACACACACACACACACACACACACATGCGCCATGAGGCCTGCATGCCGTTCCAAAGGCGGACAGATCCAGGCGGAGGCCGCAATCAAACAAACGTGCTGAAGGATCGCTCCGGAAGCATGCGTGTGTGTGTGTGTGTGTGTGTGTGTGTGTGCGCGCGCGTGTGTGACATTTTATCTCCCGTGGCTTTTATTTATCACTATTTATTGTATCTGTAATGGCAGGGGGCTCACATTTCTCCTCCACAGCAGGAGACATAAATAAACAGCGCAGACAATGGCGGGTGGCGGTGTGGTCCCTGCTGCAGCCTTGACCGTTTATGGAACATGTCAGTTAAAATTCTCCTCCGGTGCGAAACGAACATTTTTCTGGTTCCTTAATTTTTACTGCAAACATGGTTTCCCAGACTCGTCACATAAACATCAAACATCAAACTTTCAGTGAGTTGCTTTCATCATTTACAAGTTTCAATTCCGCAAACAGACCTGCTGATGAACGCCCTCAGTCTGCGCAAATGCACTTAATCCCATCTTTCTTGTTTGTTTTAGTTCTTTTCCAGCTCCGTTCTGTTTTTACATTTTTGTTTCTTGGATAGCGGAACGCATCAGTTTAGTGTGTAATCCTCGTGTTTATGTTGGATCCATCACTAAGTTGGTCTGCAATGCGCCTAATCAGAGGGGGAGAATTGCGCCAGGCTTCTTGGTGAGCTGAAACTTTCTTAAGCTGATAATCTGTCAGAGCTGACACTGAAGCAACCCTGGATGTTTATTTCTGAGCTAAACGCATGCACACCTGTACGTGTTGCGCAGATTTTCTCAGAAATTTGCTTTTTTATTTATTTTTTGTTTTTAAGGTTTATTCCTGCATAAAACAAGAAAAACAACTAAAACACATTTAGTGATTTTCAGTAAAACATCGTTTACGCCAGGAGTCAGTGCCGTTCACACAAAGTTTAAACCGCTCTCCTTCTGTCCAGAACAGCAGTTTGATGGGGCTGATCCACCCGCTATGACCCGCCGTCAAGCTCACGCACCGTGCACAGCTTCAGGTTGGAGAGGGGCACGGGGCGGGACGCCGCGCGGGACAGCTGATTGTTCGTGCCATTAACTTGGGTGCGTTTCCGTTTGCTTTTCAGACCACGCCCCCTTCACCTAGTAGTTTTCTCCTGTTAGCATCCCAGAGATGGTCCGGAGAGATTCCTCAGGGAAGAAAAGAGTGCAAATCAGCCGAGCGGGGAGCGCAGAACTGCCTCCTAATTGCGCGTAATCTTCCGTTTCATCCACGAGAGCAGAGGAGGAAGAGCTTGTAAATCAAGACGCGGCGCACAAGGAGCAAAAGACCCGCTTTATCTTCGTCTTCTTGGTCTTTCTGTTGCAATAGAACTCGTCTGACATTTTGCTTGTTTTTGTCGTCAGCTGTTCACCTTGATCCGGAGGACTGTCGCCAACTCAGCGCAGCGCCTCTCATCCTGCGCTCCCCCTTTCATCCTTTCTCACTGCTCTTCCTCTCGTCGAGTCGCTGACATGAGGAGCAGCTAACCTCTGGATGCTGACAGCTCCCCTTTCTTCCTTCCACATGTCGCATCTTTTGTTTACTTTGAGGGGGAAACCGCGCGCGTCTAAACACCAAGCGGTGTAGACCACGCCACTTTGCTCCTGTGACAGCGCTATCAAAGAGGAGGGAAGGCAAAGAAAGAAGAAAAAGGGAAAGGAGGGAGCCAGGGAGAGGAGGATAGAGTGAGTGAGAGAGATAGAGACAGCGGGAAGGTGCGTTTTGATGTTTGGCATCCACGAGAGCATCCAGAGGAGTGGGAGTAGTATGAAAGAGGAGCCCATGGTGGCCGGGATGAACGCGGTTCGGACCTGGATGCAGGGCGCCGGAGTGCTGGACGCCAACACAGCCGCCCAGAGGTGAGCCTGAGGCGGCCTTGGCGCTGCGCTGTCTCCGCTCAGACCGAGGAGAGGAGAGAGCGCGGGGTCTGATCTGGAGTGGTGGATTCACCTGGGGCGCAACGTGTCCCAGAGGACGCATAGCTGGGGGGGGGGGTCACCTCTGCTCCGCGCGGCATTTTACTCGACTCGTTCAAACACTATATGTGGTCCGGAGATTTTATTTTATTTGGTTTGATTTCAAACAGGCAAAAGAACCAGAGTTTAAACTGTTTTCAGCTGAGTTTGCGCCTTTTTTGTGTGTTTTGGGGTCTTATGGTGCGAAACTTTTAAAAGTTTGCACACATTGTTCACTTTTAATGTCTAAAGTTAATTTTACAATAAATAAAATGTTAAATTTAGAGGACGCTTTGATGAGCATTAATTTATAGCACCCTTTAACAGCAGGCTTTAATATTATAATAATAACTATTATTATTATTATTGTGACTGGTTCAGATTCTGATGGTAACTTTAAATGATTTCGTTGCCTCATAATTAAAAAAAATTACCCGCACGTTCAGCAGAATAAACAACAAACTGCGCTGTTGGATCAGACAGTCAGCGCTCAGTTTCAATAATTAAACTGAGTCATTTTTGCACTTTCTGATATCTGAATGTTCCGTGGTTGAGGCCGCTGCTGCCTTGTGCTTCTATCCGCAGCGGAGTGGGTCTCGCTCGGGCTCACTTCGAGAAGCAGCCGCCCTCCAACCTCCGCAAGTCCAACTTCTTCCACTTCGTCCTGGCTCTGTACGACCGGCAGGGCCAGCCGGTGGAGATCGAGAGGACCACCTTCGTGGATTTTGTAGAAAAAGAAAAGGTGAGTTAGGAGCTTTTTTTTTAAATTGATAATTAAAATCACACTGAATGAAAGCTGGTCCTTCTAGCGGCGCATCGACTGGAGCCGAGCCTAGTCGCCGGGGTGATAAATCACCAGACAGCAGGTCCTGAAGGCTTCTCGTGTGATTTTTAAACGCTGCTTCCGGAACAAACCTCTAGTTATTGTTACAGGAACGCTGATTTCCCTGTTAAAATAAAGTAATTTCCACGTAATTTCCTAATTGCATTTATCTTATTTAAAAACTTTAAAACTCACTTTTCGCATTTGATATTCTTAAAGATCTGCAAATATTAATAATCAACAATTATTATCGATTATTTTAAACAAACATCCAAATAAACTCTTAGATTTTTGTTGATTTAACATCTTCCTTATTTCTGGCATTCGTTTATTGAAATACGTGATTTATTTATTAACGTTTATTTTATTTAATGGCATCTCCATTTGTTCTTCTTCTTTTACTTGCTGCGGTGTGTGAATCTTTCATTTTTGAAGACAATTAAACAAATCGAATTTTTTTTCTAATATCTCAACCACTCAGATCAGGTGTAAAAATGATTATTTAAAATAATTAAACAAACAATCAATGAGTTAAATTTGTTTTCATGTTTTATCAAATTATAAACTGAGACAAACGTGTGTGAGTTTTAACAAAGTTAGAAACAAACCGACGACCTTCTCATTCTGGCTCCATAAACGGCTCAAGTGCTGTGGAGAGGTCAGGATGAAATCTCACATTTATTTTTCTGATGGATCAGAACTGAGGTCAGACGCAGGAGTGTGTGACCGGTTCTGTTCGGGTTCATGTCCACAGGAAACGACGGGAGAAAAGACCAACAATGGGATTCATTACAGACTCCAGCTGCTCTACAGTAACGGTGAGTTTCTGCTGCCGGGCTGTTATTCAGGTGGACTTAGTCCCGAAAATAAGGAGGAAACTTTGGCAAATATATGAAAAATGTCACATTTTAAAACACTTCACCAGTTTAATTAAAAGTGTGTTATTTTAATTCATTCAAGCCTTGAAACACATTAAAACCAAAGCTGTTGTTTCACATGTTAATAATTAAGCAGCTAATTAATTTGTCATCTTATTTTTGAATTAAAATGTAAGACAAATACTTTTTATGAAAATTAAAACATTTTTTAAAGTTTCTGCCAACTGACAAGTAAAAAAACACTCATAAATGACATAGCTGCCATCAAGCGCCTCACAGGGCAAATCAGAACACACACACACACACACACACACACACACACACACACACACACACACACACACACACACTTTATTTGAACACCTTTCCGTCTCTCTGCAGGGATCCGAACAGAGCAGGACCTGTATGTTCGCCTCATCGACTCCATGACTAAACAGGTAGAGATTCTGCATCTGACTAATCATTAAAAAGTCTTCTGGTCTGAATGTTTTCTCCCCTCCATCACCAACTCCTCCCCCTTGCCCCCCCCCCCCCCCCCCCCCCCCCCCCATGACTGAGACCCTCAGCCGGCTTGATGGACGACCTGTCGTACCTGTGGAACAGATTTACACAGGCCCAGAAAAGTAGAGGACATGTCCTCACTCTAAACCGGAGCAGTGTCTGTGTGTGTGTGTGTGTGTGTGTGTGTGTGTGTGTGTGTGTGTGTGTGTGTGTGTGTGTGTGTGTGTGTGTGTGTGTGTGTGTGTGTGTGTGTGTGTGTGTGTGTGTGTGTGTGTGTTGCAGGGGGTACTTTATGTATTTCAAAGTGTGTGAATATGTGTGTGAGGTGCAGCAGTGGTTGAGACAGTGATGCATGCCAGCTCCCTCTTTCAGGACCTTGACCCTCATTTCCTCAATGTGAAACAGAACAAACTATCCAGAGTGTGTTACGGCCACTTCAGTCACACTAACAGAAATACAGAGTGTGTTGCAGCTGGTGCAGTCTGAGGGAATTCTTCACGAGGACAAATTAGACGAGCGAAGAAACCAAGAAGCTCCTCATCTCTGTTATGATAGCAGCTCTTTTGTTTTGCCAATCCTGCCTCCAGTACCATTACGGGCCTGGAGAGAGTTTGTCTTCCAGTGAAGAGAGGAGGAGGAGATGTTTGCGTGGGAGCGTGTGTGCTTGCATGTTTATCAGGCTGTGTGTGTGTGTGTGTGTGTGTGTGTGTGTGTGTGTGTGTGTGTGTGTGTGTGTGTGTGTGTGTGTGTGTGTGTGTGTGTGTGTGTGTGTGTGTGTGTGTGTGTGGTGATCAAGCCCTGGAGAGCATGTTGAGCGGGGTTGGAGGGGTAACCAGACTAGATTTTTGGACACTGTGCTGTACGGACCAGATGGTGCACTATACTCCAGTCTGGCAGTCCAACTGCTCACTGTATGCACCACATAAACATACAAACACACACACACACACACACACACACACACACACACACACACACACACACACACACACACACACACACACACACACACACACACACACACGCATTCAGACAATTTTCCCTTTTACCGTCTCTGTCAGAACATGGAGTTCCTGCTCAGGAGGACTGGATTCCCACGATACACACATTTGCCAGATAAACACAAATGAAACACACATTTCTCTGTTTTCATTTGGCTGCACGTTCCCGATTTTCAACTCAACATGAAGACTATGTTTCTTCCTCTTTCCTTAGGCGATTGTTTATGAGGGCCAGGATAAAAACCCGGAGATGTGCCGTGTTCTGTTGACCCATGAGATCATGTGCAGGTAAGTCGAACCACTTCTGTTGCAGCTCAGAACCATCAGGTAGATAAAGCCTCAGCCGGAGTCACGAAGGCTCAGAATTATAATAAAAATATTATCATTTCCCTCAAAGTGGGTTGGAGAGATGGGCCCTGGCCTATTTCTGTTATAAGTGTGTGTGTGTGTGTGTGTGTGTGTGTGTGTGTGTGTGTGTGTGTGTGTGTGTGTGTGTGTGTGTGTGTGTGTGTGTGTGTTTCCCTCTCATGTTCAGCTAATTAGGACAAGGAAAAGCTCATTACTCAAACCCATCCTCTTCTCTCTGAAATACTTGCTGTGTCCTGACAGTGAGCTTGTATCGCTCACACACACACACACACACACACACACACACACACACACACACACACACACACACACACACACACACACACACACACACACACACACACACACACACACACACACACACACACACACACTTAAAAAGTGCAGTGAAAAACTCCTCACAAGCCGCCGCGGCTTTAGGATGAAAGCGAGGAACACATGAGGCTGTACAGAGATGCCTGGTGGCGGCGTGTAGCCACTTCCTGGTTATCACACAAAGCAATTTAGACCACTTGTTTTCATACGCTGCAGGAAACGGTGGAGATCAGAAATCTGATCTGGCTCTCCAAGCCTCCATCCTGAGGGACTGGAGAAAGTAGGGGGAGGGTCAGTCTCCCTCCTGTCTTTTTCTCCATCTCCTCCGTCCACACACACACTCACACACACTCACACACACACACACACACACACATATATCCAGCACACAGGTAGACACTCAGACACAGAGGCAGACGTGTTTTTTTTTTAGGAATAGTGACAACACTGTTACAATCTGCTGCAGTCAAATGATTCAGGGAGGACTCGTCACATCAGTATGCAGCCCCCTTTTTCATTCTTTTTTTCTTTTTACCCAGCATGCACCACTCCCCAGGTCCAGTGGGACCACTCTGTGACCCACTTCTGAGGGAGAGAGAGAGAGAGAGAGAGAGAGAGAGAGAGAGAGAGAGGCAGGATGGAGGGAGGGGACGAGCAATAAGGATAAAATATAGAGAATATAAGATGGCTGTGTGATGTCTGACAGAAATGGAGCTAACCTGAGCCCCCGAGGCGTAATCGAGTTTAGATCTAGTCCTGCCGTTGCTCTCCTCCTCTAAACTTCTCCTAAAACCAGCCTGCTGATCCCACATGAGAGCCCTGGTCTTAGCACGACCAGTCCAAACCCGTCTCTCACGCCCATCTTCTCCTTCCTGATGCTCCGATGCTCATCTGGCTTCCTGTGTTGGAGCTGTGTCTTATCTTTGTGTAACTCTGTCTCTCTCCCCTGTCTCCATCGGCCTCCTCCTGCAGCCGCTGCTGCGATAAGAAAAGCTGTGGCAACAGGAACGAGACCCCATCAGACCCCGTCATCATCGACAGGTAAGGACCCCCCCCCCCCCTTAACTCAGCCCGACGTGATGCTGCGCTGTCACACACACACACACACACACACACACACACACACACACACACACACACACACACACACACACACACACACACACACAAGCAGGAAGCTGTTTACATGAAAATCATGACAACAACTACTTGGTGTCCCTCTAGCGTGGGCAGATGAAGATGCTTTGGAACGATAAAACACACCCTCGTAAAGAAGGCCACAGGTTTTTCTTTCGATTCTTTTTTCACCCTTTTCCAGCCGCATCGATGATCTGAGTGAGCAAAACGTGAGAAAGAGCACTAAACGTCACACTCCAGTGTGAGTGTGACGTGGAGGAGCACTCCAGCGCTGCTTCAAGTGTGGTCAAGCAGCGCTTGTGTGGTTTCACTGATGATTTAACTGATGAGCAGTTTGGGTTCCAGCTACAGTCTCGTGTGTGTGTGTGTGTGTGTGTGTGTGTGTGTGTGTGTGTGTGTGTGTGTGTGTATGTGTGTGTGTGTGTGTGTGTGTGTGTGTGTGTGTGTGTGTGTGCGTGCGTGCTGCTGGGAGGTGTTAGCCACTTTCTGAGTCACTAACAGATATATTGTCCCACTGTGGGTGCATTCATCTGCAGACCCAAACAGAACAGGCTGAAGTGGGTTTTTCTGTGAGAGCGGTGCAGGTTCTACCTCGTCTGCCCAGTTAAGCTGCACAACGACGGTTACAAGCAACCCGAACATCGACTTTGTGTTCTGATTTGAATTTGTCACGAGTGTATTTGTGTGAGTGCTAATGATGCAGTGACCTGTGATATCTGATGAACGCAGCTGTCCTGTTCTCACTGTTGCTCTGTCAGAAGCTGCTCGTTTACCTGTGTGTGTGTGTGTGTGTTTGCCTCGCGCCACCCTCGTTCCGCTCCACTGAAGCGGAAGGCCTCACCTCAGCGCTCCCTGAGACAGCTGCACCCCAACACGTGGCCTCAGACAACACGCCTGCCCATCACTCCCTGCTACATTTCTGATCTATTTATTTTTCTGTTTTGCAAACTTGTTGATTTTCCCGTCTATGCATGCTTTTTGTTGTTTTTACAAGGGAGGGGCTGCTCTCTTTCACCCGAGCACCACCCTTAAACTGGGTGTAGTTTGCACGCAGCAGGCCAATCTCCTGTGAGCAGCTTTCCCACACTGAGCATGTGTTGTGCCGCTATTCCCTCGACGCCCAGTGGCTCAGGTGTGAGGGCAGCGTTAACGAACAACAAATTAGAATGGGGGGGAGGGAAAACAACCGCAATTTCTCAGCTTTCCTCTCCAGCGAGCGCTCTCTCTGGACAGGAAAAATAGGTCAGGTGAGAGGAGAGCTGCTGGGGAGGGGTTGTGTTTTAAAGGGGAAACTGGAGGGGAAGTGTGTGTGTGTGTGTGTGTGTGTGTGTGTGGGGGGGGGGGGGGGGCTCATTTAGCACCAATATATTCTTGGCAATTGTAATAATCAGGGATTCATAACAAACAAACAACTGTGAGGCTGGAACTACTGACTCCATTACCATGAGTCCCTCTCCTCCTGATTCATAAAGAAATACCATCAGCAGCCCCCCCCCCCCCCCCCCCCCCCCGAAGTTATTTAGTTGGTTAAATAAGGGCTCGTTAGCCCTCCGCTGTTTCACAGAGATGATTAGATTTTACAGCCCTAATTAGCTGGGCTAGCTCTAACTCCTCTGGAAGAGTAATGGGTCTGATTGCCTAATTAGCTCCCTCTCGTTAGGTTGGGAGAAACAGGCCACTGCAGCAAAACCACAGGAATGAGGAAAAATAAAGTCGGCTAATGAGAAACTTATTTGATTGTTAGGAGAACAAATCTGGAGGAGTGTGGATCGGCAGCGTTTTGGGTACTCACCGGGAGGATCTCCTGCTGAAGAAGGGAGATTTGTTGGAGCTTTAAGACATTTTCAGAAACCACGTGATCCAAGGTGTGGTGACGAGGAGTTTGTTGAGGCCGTGCTGGTGAGAAGAACCGAAGGATTTCTCCTTCGTCTCTGGGACGATGGGAAACATTCGCCTGATTTCATCATTTCTGAAGTCTTCTTCTCCCGTCTGATCAGACGACACTTGTCATATTTATTAATCTACCCTCAGAGGTGGGAAGTTCTCGGGATTTTATGGTAGACCTGTGGGCATAGCATGCCATGTGCTCGACTCTGGTCACAGGAAACATGAGAAAAGCGAGCCGCTCCTGAGCGTCTGCTCCCCAGGGATCCATGTGTGGTCCGCTTTAGGCTCCTACAGAGGCAAGATAATACGAGGGAGTCCTCAACCCTCCATTTCCACTTCTCCCCATCACTCCTGGTTAGCGCGGGGTTAATCATAAGCAGGTTTAGCCGTCATGGGCCTCAAATCACAAACACCCTTCCATCCCGTCCGTGCAGCTTTCCTGTCTGCCTGCGTAAAATGATGTTTTTGTTTATCTTGGATGAACTGTTCCGCTTTTATTACCACTGATGTTTCCTTCACAGCAGCGCCGTGAAAGGGCAGGTGTGTTGGTCAAACACCTAAAACACGTTAAACAGTTACAACCATCTAGTTGTATGTCCAACCGCTGCGTTGGTGATCGGTTTAGCCGTGTGGCGATCGTCCACCTTCCCCTGATGCCAGTGGAGTGGCATCAGACTGTAAATCAGTGACTGTCTATGAACTGTCCTTCACGTGGATGACAGCGACGTTCTACCTCACACGCCTGGTTGATTGTGGGATGCAGATCACCTGAGGACCCAGGTGTTTGTTTAACTCCCACAGGTGTGCGGCTGCATTAGTGTTCAGTCTGCAGCTCCTTGTTTTAAACGTTTAGATGATGCATCGCTCCTTTTGTTATGGCCGGGTCGTAACAAGTGGGCGTTCATCCCAGATTAGTAGTCCGGAATCCTTTGACAGGCAAACTCCCAGCAGTGAAGGCTCGATTCGGAGGTTTCTGTTTTAGTGATTCCTGAACAGTTAATGTAAGACTTTGGGATGCAGTGCAGCTGAGGCCTGCTTTGGTTTGCTGGTATTAAAGGTGTTTGTCCGTGATCAGCAACAACAGCGGGATCTGGGTCACCCATTCTTCAGCAACGTTTGATGTGTTCACTCAAGTTTTCCGAACGGTGGAAAAGCGTCTGCTCTTCGGTAAAGTCCAGCGTTCAGACTTCTACTTTCCAGGAGAGCAAAGATCTTGGTTAAAAAAAAGAACAACTTTGTTTTGTGTGTAAAACTGTAGAAATGAATAAAATAATCCAGATTATTTACAAGGCCTCAAATTTAAACAGGTCTAAGAAGCAGGGTGAGTAAAAGTAAGTTCTTCTCAACAGTAGACAGGGATCACGCATGTTCTCTTCAAGGTCGTCACCGACTCGGGGTCCACTTTGGACACGCTGCAGTAGACGTAATGTCTCTTAACTCAGGTGGAGACATTCTGTAGGGACAAACAGCTTTAATATGTCCTCTAAGACAGGCGTTTCCTACGCGGGGTCCGTAATCCACCAAGGGGGTTCCCAGGGTGTGCTGAGGTTGGAGGGTAACGTCTCAATAGTGCACCCAGTGGACTGTATTTGATATAGCACCCTCTGTGGTTCTCCAACTCCCCAAGGTGCTTTACAACACAGCCATCCACCCACGCACACCCAGGTGGGGATTAGCCCTGAGGCTCAGCACCGGTACCGCCAGTCCTTCCGACCACCACAAGCAGGCAAGGAGGGTTAAAGTTCAACTTCACTGAAGAAACTATTTTTAATGATTGTTTCTGATCACTATCAGTCAATCGGAGTGTTTTATTCAGGCTGAACATGAGAATAGTCTCCTACACCTGTCTGCAGCGATAGCTCCTGATAGAAAATCTAGGATTAGAAAAGCCTGACAGATCTACATCACACACATTCACGGACTCATCACGACTCTCTAACGGGGACGGCTGCCGTTGGTTTAGTGTCCAGAGAGAGCAGAGAACGTCTCGGTTAGTAGATGCTAACCGTTAGCATTAGCAAGTCCACCACACAGCAGAACTAACTCCTTCAGGCTTGTGTTGTTTGTGGATAAAACATCTGTGTTTCAGGGGAATCTGAGTCAGAGTCGTTTTGCTGTTAGCCAATCAGAGGCGAGATGTCCAAATATGGGGAAATAAGACCCTAACTCCTGTCGTGTTCTGCCTCTCTCTCCTAGCTGAATTCTACGACCTGAAAATGGTGCACCAGAGCTTTTTTCCCTTCATAGAACAACATATTCATTCACTGGAGATCACTGCAAACGTACTGAAGTATGAGTGAAGGTGACCGTTAGCTGTCTTGCTTAAGGACACAATGACGGGGCTCCAGGCTTGACTTGGACACAGCCAGAGGAAGTAACCTCACATGCTTTCTGGAAAAAATTTGAATGAGAGCGACAGACTAAAACGGTGCTAACAAGCAGGCAAACGCAGCCATCCGCTTTCAGATTCAGCTGAGGCAGAACCAGAACCAGAGCTTAATGGGATATAAAACCCTTCCAAATCGGATCTCTTGGAGAGTATGACCGTCCCTCCAGCACTGTGTGTCCTCTCCTGGCTCCTTCCACCTGTGTCCTTTGGGCCTTTCCAGCTCATCCGACTCCCTTCGGCCTGCTGCGGGGTGTCCCCCAGGCTGGGTGATCCTCTGGAAGAGGAGGGGTCTGCGGGTGGAAACACTCTGTGACCAGAGATAAGAATCCACTGCTTAACCCCAATCATCCCTTCTTCCAGCTAAAAGGGTCAACTACACATGACTTATTTTGTCAGGTTTATTGCAGCCTGTGAGCATGTGTGTGTGTGTGTGTGTGTGTGCGTGTGTGTGTGTGTGTGTGTGTGTGTGTGTGTGTGTGTGTGTGTGTGTGTTTACACACTCCTGCAGCCGACTGTTGATGTTGCCCATTTCCTTGCATGCGCGTCTCTGCTTGTGTATCCACATAAGTGTTGGTTATTTCCCTGTGTGTGTGTGTGTGTGTGTGTGTGTGTGTGTGTGTGTGTGTGT